CATCCATCCATCCATCCATCCATCCATCCATCCATCCATCCATCCATCCATCCATCCATCCATCCATCCATCCATCCATCCATCTTCTTCCACTTTCCAAGGTCAGTTCATGGGCTTAGCAGCTTTAGTAGGGAGGCCAAGATGTTCCTCTCCCCATCCACTTGGGCTACTTTGTCTGGGGTAAACCTAAGCAGTTCCCAGGCCAACAGAGAAACCCAGCGGGTCCTGGGTCTCCTCCCATTTGGACATGCCCAGAACACTTGACTAGGGAGGCATCCAGGAGACATCCTAACCAGATGCCAGAGACTCATCAACCGGCTCCTCTCAACATGGAGGAGCAGCGGCTCTACGCTGGGTCCTCCCCAGATCTTTAGTTATTAACTCTTCTCCTGTAGAACCAACCACCAGTTTTAGTCAGTGAGGCAAACACCCAGTCTACTCTTAAGGCAAGGCTTAAACCTTTCCTTTTTGATAAAGCTTATAGTTAGAGTGGCTCAGGTTATCCTCGGCCATCCCTGTACAGTGAGGAAAATAAGTATTTAAACACCCTATTGCTATTTTGCAAGTTTTCCCTCTTATATATATGATTTTTTTTAACTATTATTTTTTTAACTATTATGTTGATGAACTGCGGTCTATCAGCTAGAATTGTGACCCTCATTCCATTATATTATCCTAAATTAGATGCACCTGTTTAAAGTTGTTAGCTGCATAAAAACACCTGTCCACCCCAATCAGTAAGAATACAACTTCTAACATGGCCAAGACAAAGAGCTGTCCAAAGACACTAGAGATAAAATTGTACATCTTTGCAAGGCTGGAAAGGGCTACGGAAAATTACCAAGCAGCTTGATGAAAAAAGGTCCACTGTTGGAGCAATCATTAGAAAATGGAAGAAGTTAAACATGACTGTCATTATCCCTCAGACTAGGGGTCCATGCAAGATCTCACCTCATGGGGTCTCAATGATGCTAAGAAAGGTGAGAAATCAGCCCAGAAAGAACTACACTAGAGGAGCTGGTCAATGACCTGACTGTTTCCATGTTTGCTGTTGGTAATTCACTAATGGTTTGAAATCATGCATGGCATGGAAGTTTTGCCTGCTTAAACCAGCGCATGTGGTGATGGATACCAGTGATGAGGGGAGCTCTCAAACTGAAGAAGGAGTCCTATCAGGATTTTTTGGCCTGTGGGACTCCAGAAGCAGCTGCTGCATACCAGCATTCAAAGCAGCAGGTCGCTCAGCTCGGCGCTGAGGTAAAAACTCAGGCGTGGGAAGAGTTTGGAGAGGCCATGGAGAAAGACTTTGAAATGGCTTGGAATAGATTCTGGTCCACAATGCGGCGTCTCAGGAGGGGTAAGCAGTGCAGTACCAACACTATTTGTAGTGGGGGTGGTGTGCTGCTGACCTCAACTTGGGACGTCTTGTGTCGGTGGGCGGAGTACTTGAAAGACCTCCTTAATCCCACAAACACATCTTCCATGGAGGCTCTGTGTTGGGTTGTCCCATCTCTGGTGCTGAGGTCATGAGGTGGTTAAAAGGCTCCTTGGTGGTAGGCCCCCGGGGTGGATGAGATTAGTACATGAGTACATTAAGGCTATGTTGTGGGGCTGTGTTGGTTAACGCAACTCTGCAACATTGCATGAACATAGGGGGCAGTTCCCCTGGATTGGCAGACTGGGGTGGTGGCCCCCCTATTTATATAGGGTGACCGGAGGGTGTGTTCCAAATACAGAGGAATCACACTCTTAACCTTCACTGGTAGGTTTATTCCGGGGCTCTGGAAAGGAGGGTCCGTCATATAGTCAAATCTCAGATTCAGGAAGAAAAGTTTTGTTTTCATCCTGGCCATGGAACACTGGATCAGCTCTTCACCCTCAGCAGGATCCTGGAGGGTGCATGAGAGTTTGCCCAATCACTCTATATGTGTTTTGTAGATCTGGAGAAGGCATTGGAACATGTCCCTCGTGGGGTCCTGTGGTGGTACCCCGTGAGTATGGAGCACTTGGCCCTTTAATAAAGGCTGGTAGGTCTCTGTATGACCTATATCAGAGCCTGGCACGCATTGCTGGCAGTAAGTCTGAATAATTTCTGGTGGACTCCGCCAAGGTTGCTCTTTGTTGCAGATTCTGTTTAAAACGTTTATGGATAGAACTTCTAGGCACAGCCAAGGTGTTGGGGGATCTGTTTTGGTAGCCTTAGGATCAAATCTCTGTTATTCACGGATGACAATGTTCTATTGGCTTCATGAGAGCGTGATCTACAGCTCTCACTGGATCTTGAGCTGGAAAAGGGTAATGTGCCTTCTCCGGGTTGGAGAGGAGGTACTGCCCCTAGTGGAGGAGTTTAAGTATTTTGGGGACTTTTTCATGAATGAGGGGAAGATGAAGCAGGAGAGGAGCCAGTTGAGGTGGCTCAGGCATTTGGTTAGGATCAGATTTCAAACCCTACACAATACTGAAATAAGCAAAATGTAAATGAAAAAGCTAATAAATTGGAGAAAAGGAGGTCTGAGTCCATTCAGAGTCTCAAAAAAGATATATTATAGTTTTAAAGCTTGGTGGGTTAATGCGTTTAAGGTGTCCTTTAAAATAGCATCAGATAAATGTGAACAGTATTGATGCAGAAATGCAATAAAAACAGTGAAGCTTCATTTGATTTTACAGTTAAAAAAAATGCTCAGAAATGCATTAAAGTGTAGCAGCACTGGAGCAAAGTTTGGTTAGCTCAGATGACAGGAGACCAGGCTACAAGGCAGGGCCAAGACAAGACAGAGTTGAAAAACGTATATGCATGGCCAAAGTTGAAGTAGCTTAAAACTATCAATGCTAGCCAGGCATAGAGCCTTGACTTTCACAAACTGAAAAATAAATGGAGACATTAATAAATAAAATTTCACAAAGCGCCGATCCTTCAGTCAGGTTCAGTGAGCATTGGCATTCAGTTCAGAACTCCTACTTAAAAACCCTCAGCAGTTAAAAGTTTATTTCAGATAAAAACAGACACACATGCAAAAATATCTATTCTAACACCTCGCCAAGTGGAAAGAAGATGATGATGGTTCAGGAACCCAATCCAGTTACCAGGACAGGATGGGACGATGTCCAGTTTAGTCCTCCAACAGAAAGCTCTTGGGGAGACTTGAAATATTCAGAAGCAAAACAACAGAGAAGGATCTGCAGGGCTTCATTTGATTTCTTTCAGCAGCTTGAGTGAATGTGTTTTTCAAAGCAGTGGCTGATAGCTTTGAGCAGCAGTTTAGAAAGCTTCAAAACAGCAACCGAACCAGTGGGCATGGTTCAGCGTCTGGCAGTCAGCAAACAGCAGTCGGGCCTGGACTGCTCCATGAGCGGTAAACAATGGTCGACCAGTTGAAAAACACTGCGTTCAACTTGGTTTGAACCACAGTAAGAAAGACATTTCATTCAGTTCTCCCTGAGTTTTTGGCAAAATGGCATCTGCTTCTGGGAGTCTGCTTCTTAAATAATCTCTGTAGCAGGGATGTAAAGTCAGGGGGGAGTCACTCCTGCTTCATTCTTGACCTTTGATCTTAAACAAAACAGACCTCTAAGAAAGGGATTTAAAAAATTGCGGTTTCTGAAACTGAGGCCGCATAAATAGATATATTAAAAAGAGCAATAATTACAAGGGGAAAAAGACAACATTTTCTGAAAACAAAGCAAACTGTATCAATATTGATCTTCTGTGTACAAATTCTAAATTCTCTTTTTTAATTAGGACATGTTATTTTTGCTGTTAAAGACCTTGTAAATGGAATGTTGTAATTTTTTTTTAAACACATTTTAAATTTCATAAATTTATCATTTTAAACTTGTAAAAAGTTTCTCAACCACTAAGAATTTTATTATGAAGTTTTAACCGTTTCAAGATTTCCCTGTTTGAGAAACTTTTGGGTCTGGCTGAAAGGCTGGCTCTGTGACGTCTCACTGCTCATTTCCATCTATGGAACTCACATATTAATAGCATGATAATCAAAAGCATGTATTTCTGTGGGTTGACAAGCTCACATATTTATTTATTTTAAATAACTCAGGACAATTTTCCTGTTGTTTAAAGAAAATAAGTGGTTAGAAATAGATCAGCTTCTGTTAGACTGAGGTTAAATAACAAAAAACTGGATTATACCTATGTGATGACTTCTCAAAGCTGCTTTTTTATGTTATACAGGGAGTACTAAAGTAAATTTTCATATTAACCTTTAGGAGGACATGGGTTTGAAGCAGTTTTCTAATGTATGATATTTTGATTTTTAATTTCAGAGCTGAAACCTTGATGTCTTCGTCTCAGTCAATTAGCCCTTTAATCCGACCACACGATGGATTTTAGCATCTCAGCCTCCAGCCTGACCATCCAGTAGATAGAAACCTCTCTGTTCATTTAAAATGTTCAAACCTTTTAAATGTTTATATTCAAGATCTATCGTCATTTACTGTACATTTCGAAGGGCTGCACGCCTTTTTAATATATTCTGAATTTTCCCTTGATGCTGACTATGTTTTTAAGTTCCTTTAACTATAAAACCTACAAAAGTTATAACTATTAAACAGCAGGACCTGATCTGATGTGAACAGACTCAACTGGTTCTTCTATCTATAAACTGCTGTGCTCAATGTGTTGGAACTGCTTTATATATGGAAACTAGAGAGTCATTGCAAGAAAATGACTGTAACCTGGATGACTAACTCTCCATAGTCTAGAGAGTAATTTTGTGTATAGTTTAAGTTTATTAACTCAAATTGCTTCAATGATCCCGACAGTTCATGAAGCTTAAAGGAATAGTACACCCAAAACATGATTAGCCTTCATTTTCTACTC